CTTGGTCAGCTATTATGCTGTCAAAGGGGAACCTCGGATACTTATGGATCTGTCGTCGCCTGCTTCGGAGGATGCAGGCGGGGACAGAGGATAGGTTGGAGGTCTGTCACCCTACCCTCACTCTCCTTTTCTTAAAAAATTTAAACAGAGGAGATGTTGCAATTATCAGCAAAATACCCTATGAATATATCCCTGGGCAGTTTTCCACTGCTATAGGTTTCATCTCTAACATAAGTTTCGTTTCCTATGAAATGCCTGTAGTTCTTTGTTCTTTGTCCATACAATGAGCTCATCCCCTCTGTTAAGTTTCATTTCTTAAATTGGAACTCATTTCCTAGAAAAGCCTGCCTTGAAGACCCTAAGTTTCTGATACGTAAGCAAAGAATGAATAAGTACCTCCTAGTTTCAAGTTTCCTGTTCTTTGTGTATTCCATATATGGTAATGAAGACCCACTCCCCTATTTCCTTTCTGTACACCCCCTTATGACATCAATATACCAATAAAAGAGGGGCACGCAGATCCTTCTGGGCGCTCGCATGCCATCTCACCTGAAGAAACATGTTGTCCGTGTGTTTCCTAACCTAAAGCGAGGTCCGTTGGTCTCATCCAATGTACATCACCTCATCCCGGAGAAAAGGGACAAGTGGGATCCCCAGCGATCGCCACAAGTAGGGGATTTTAATGCAATAGTAGATGCGACATTAGATTATAAAAGTAGCAAAACAGGAAAACAAGGAAGAAAAAGATTACCTAAGACTTTTTTTAATATGATAGAGGAAATTGGTGTACAAGATACTTGGATAAACTAATCCAGAAAACCTACAATATACATTTTATTCGAATAGTCATAAATCTTGGTCCAGACTTGACATGATTTGGATGACACCTGAATTAAGAACTAATATGCAGGAGATTGAGATAGAATTAGGCACTTGGGCAGACCATAATCCTTTAAAAATGATATGGAAAGAAATACAGAAAAAATTAAGATGGACTTTGAATCAATCTATATTAAAAGAGTTCTGTATCTATTTTCGGGGCTTTGGTTGCAGGATGGAATGTCAGATCAGTTGCGGAAAAAGCACCCCGATAGTTTTCTAATTAGTTTTCAAAATCCGGAATGCCAGTAGATGGCAGGATAAAGATCTCCCCGCATCTTCTTTCTGTGATCTAGCAGTCGTCTGGATTTTTGCAGCCCAGATGTCATGATTTCCTTTAAAAAAAGCTTACTGTAGCTTGTACAAGTTGCTTAACACCTTCAGTTACTCTCCAGCGCTCCATGCTCGGTTTAGCAGCGCCTCTCAATGTTACTTTCGGTACTACAACAACTTCAGCCCCACAACAAACAACAAGTAAAAGCTTACACTCCGAGTAGCTTCCAGCTTTATATACCCTTCTAAAAATAGCCTCTCGCTCCCAAGGTCAATCATGACGGGTCGAATTTCGAATCAGACCAATGGGGTGAGGCGTCACGAGAGGTTCGGTCACGCCAGGAGGAGCCGTGATGCGCGGCCATAGGGCTACTCTGACATCATTGAAACGCGGTGTAACGAGTTTGTTGTTATAGATTGGGCAGTTTTCTGAGCCTGCGTAATAGGATCACGAGGCGGTGGGGAGGGAGAGGATTTACGTAAAGGGAGTGTGGCTTCCAGCAGAAGGGAGGGGAAGAAAAGAGGTAGGAATAGAAGGAGGAGGTGGCGGCCAAGGAGAGCTTTGAAAGGGAACTTTTGCAGCGAGTTGCGTTTGCAAATATTGAGTAGGCTTCTCAGCAACTATCTTCTGGAGAGCCCCTGGAGTGGAAAGTAGTCTCAACAGCAGCGTCGGGGACACTGCAAAACAAAAAGCCAACCAACCAAAAGAGACGAGCCAAAGAACCCTGATATATTGTTGTGCAGTTTAACTTTGCATGAAACTTTTTAAAAATATTGTTTAAAAACGTATGTCTCTATAGCTTCGTCTGAAATCCTGAACAGGAATTCAATATATCTAGCGGTAGATGGCTATCCCCCCCCCTAAAAAAAAGTACTTTCTACTGGGTGATTTTTTTGCTTTGAATTTGGTGGTCTTTTCTCTGGAGGAGGAGGAGGAGGAGGAAGTGAGACTTTCTAAATAGCTGGTCGTGTTCCTGTCGCAATCACCTGCCGTGGCGATTACAGCCGAGACCCGGAGCCCAAGACCTGCTCCGCTCTTCCGACCTGCGGGAAACCCCCCCCCCCCCAGCGATCTGACGTTGCCTTTGCGGAGGGCTTCTTGTTGCAACTTTCGTCCGCCCCCGTCTCCCCCCCCCGAAAGGCATGGATGTACTTCCAATATGTAGCATCTTTCAGGAACTCCAAATTGTTCACGACACTGGTTACTTCTCCGCTTTGCCATCTCTGGAGGAATACTGGCAACAGGTAAAGGAGGATGTGCTATGTTTGCGGGCGTTTAACGTTGGGGACTACAAGCATGCGTAAGGTTCAGCGCTTTAAAAAAAAATATTTGCCCGGTTCAGGGACGCTTCGGGCAAAGATCGCCTTTGAATTTCATTGAGAAAGTTCTGCCCAGGGGGAGAAGCTATTTTAATCTAGGCCGTTAGCAAATGAAGGACATATGTTATTGATGTTGAAATCTGAAGCTTTACCAACCTTTTCAGGCCTGGGGGTTGGTCTCCCCCCCCCATATGCTCTCTCCCTTCTCTCCCCCCCCCCTTTTCTAGGACAGCCCTGCTAATAATAGGTCTAAGAAGCTTTTCTTGGGGTGTTGAGATTTTTGCTAAGATCCAGATTTGGCTCTCTGTAGTTTTCAGAATCATTTTAGCTCCCTCCCCTTCCCATCTGATCCTCAGCTTTAATTTGCATAATAGGGGAAATTAAAATCTGAGTGTTAAACCTATTTCTATAAATTTCCTTTTCTGGTCAATACCTTTGCAAGGTGTTGAAGAAACTGATTGTGGCACCCTTCCATTACAGTGGAGCTATAAATATTGATCAGAGTATTTTGCTGTATCTTGCCCTGTGCTCCCCACCTCCCCCAATAAACGGGTGTAGCAACAAAGAATCTTAATTTTCTGCTCTAAGAGCAAGTCTCTCTGAGTTTAGTGGAGCTTATGTCCAAGTAGGTATGTCTAATATGGGAACTCGGAAATGTGAAAGTCAACAGGGTACTATGACCAATTAAAGTTATGTTGAAATGGTGTGTGTGCATGTGCAGCATTTCCTTTCACACAATTGTGGGAGGAAGGAAGGACTCTTGCTGAAAATCACATGGCTCATGCTAGACTGACCATTTTGCCTAGAATCTGATTAATATAATACAAAGGATTAGCATGGCCAGCCTTTCACTGACATGGCTCCAATATGGTTGCATTGCTTCCTTACTTCTAAAGCAGCAAAGGGGGAGGATGGGGGGGGGGGGGCAGACTGTGCCATTCAAAGCCCTGTTGGTGTCTTTTAGTGGAGGATTTTTGTTAAAACCTGTCCTGTTGCATGTAGATTTGATGCATGAACGAACATTCTTGGCAGAGAGTTGTAATTTTTTAAAAAATAAGGGAGTGACCAAGACACTCTTGGCTAGGAGATAAAGTTCTCCCTTGTTGGAATCAGCAGTAGGACCTTAAAAGTTGGAATTTTCCATTGTCTTCTTCATTCAGTGTCCTGTTAGAATTCCAGGGGTTTTGCTGACAATGTTCCTACTCTCTATGTGAGAAATGCCTGCTTTTATGACTGACTCATGCCTATATACTTGGAAAGAACATTCTTTGAATGCCTCTCTTAGGCTGAGTTCTCATGTGCAGGAAATGGCTTAGCTGGGAAGATGTAAAATCAGCTACAACACATGTGGCTTAAATTTAGAGTGCAAACCATAGTATTTGCCTGCCTGGTAGAAGTTTGGTTGAGTTTTTCTCTTCAAGTAAACAGGAATTAATAAAATAACCTAAATAAAATTTATTTAGACTTAAAGCTAACCCCACTGAAATCTTTCTACAAGATGCCTGTTTAGTTAAATCCTAAGGGAAATGGCTAGAGCAGGGGTCTTCAAACTTAGCCCTTTTATGACTCATGGACTTCAACTCCCAGAATTCCTCAGCCAGCATGCCTGGCTGAGGAATTCTGGGAGTTGAAGTCCATGAGTCATAAAAGGGCCTAATTTGAAGACCCCTGGGTTAGAGGATGTAACTGGGTTATTTTTGACTATGCATTCTTGACAAGTTCATGAGAAGTATACTGTTTTCTTGGAACATTCATCATTTGGAACTTGAGTAGCCTTTAACTTTGAAGCACCCTAGCAATTAGAAATAAACTCTCCATCTTTTGAGTGTGTGTGGCTTCCTGCTATTTTTTTCAGAATGTTCTGTGAGTGAATGATTTTTTAAAAAATATGTATTTTTAATTCTATAGACTCGCTTAGAGTTGGAGCGATATCTTCAGAGTGAGCCCTGCTACATGTCTGCCTCTGAGATAAAATTTGACAATCAGGAGGATTTGTGGACCAAAATCATTTTGGCACGAGAGAAAAAGGAGGAATCTGAACTAAAGACAGCAAGTGCTCCAAAGGAGGCCAACCTTAATAGCCAGAGTTTAGAGACTAACAGTTTGAATTCTGATATCAGTAGTGAAACTTCAGACAGTTCCGAGGAACTTTCTCCTACAACAAAATTTACCTCGGATCTCATAAGTGGTGACTTACGCTTAGCCAGTGCTGGAAACTTGAGTTCATCTGTCACATCTACTCCTCCTTCTTCCCCTGAGCTGGGCAAGGAACCATCTTCTCAACAATGGAATTGTGCCCCCAGTGAATTGCATTCACCTGGCAAAATCCATACTGGTGCTGGTGGAAAGACTGTGGAAAAGGGTACCCTGGCCAGTGGAGATGCCTCTCCTGATGGGAGGAGGCGGGTTCATCAATGTCACTTCAATGGGTGCCGGAAGGTTTATACGAAAAGTTCACATCTGAAAGCACATCAGCGTACCCATACAGGTGAGTATTCACATAGTCTCTAGAACCGATCAACATGTTTTGCTTTATGTACTGTATCTATTGACCTTAGAGCAGTGGTGGCGAACCTTTTAGAGACCGAGTGCCCAAACTGCAACCCAAAACCCACTTATGCATCGCCGAGTGCCAGGTGGGCGTGTCCATCGAGTGGGCGTGTCCACCGAGTGGGTGTGGCCATGGTAGTCATGGCAGCATGGGTGGGTGTGGCCAGGGTGGGTGTGGCCACATTGATGTTGCTCCTGAGGAGGGATGCCTTTGGGGGCCAGGCAGGGTTGGGGGAGATCCAGGGGGTCTCTGGCGAGTGGGGCAGTTGGCAGGAGGCTCATCATCTTGTTTTGGCAAT